AAATAATCATATATTCACCAAACCAATTAATCAAGGATGCAGGCCGAGCTTCACCTCAGCTTTCTCTACTCAAAGTTCAGACGCGGCTTCTACACATCTAAAGGACGACAGTACTTAAAGTTACCCCTCGAGTAAGGTGTAAAACTCGGTCTATCGTTGGTGTCGCAAAAACCGACTACCTGAACCCAGGGGGCTCACGCGCCACGGTCGCTCATCTAAAGCCAGTTGAGTAGCACTTGAAATGTTTGGCTCTATGAAACCTGATGTACTTATATGATTCTGTTTTCTTCAAGTTTGTACTTTGTTGGTCGAACGCACTTATTGTAAGTCGCTTTGGATAAAAGCGTCAGCTAAATGCAATGTAATAATGTGTGTGTGTTGAGTGGTCGTTTCCATTTGCTTTGCATAGGCAGAGATGTTGTGGTAAACTAGCAAACAAGCTTACAAAAATGGCAACAAGTAAATGCCAGTGTCAATAAATGTGTCCCTTCACACGAGACCGCTCGACCCGCTGGAGATGCTGTAGTACATATGCCGGGCCTGTAAGTGGCGCTGTACTTCCGCCACAAAATACACCAAAAGCAGCGAAGAAGACCCCCGAGCATGGTTCCCATGGTTGCCCTTCTGTTTATTCTCCACTGTGGATTTAGCAACATGTAGTTCATGTAATTCTCCATGTCCACTTGTTGCTGATGGTTGTGGTAGAGGAGCTGTAGATTTTGCACTAACATCTGTAGCATGGTCAGTAGTGTCTTGAGCACGAACGCAACCCCTTCCGTTCCGTCCGCAGATCTATCCACCTTGGGACCCGTTATCATTTGCGGGGTCCGTTTCCGTGTTTCTGTTACGGCCTTGTGTGAACGAACGGGCTATCCGAAAGAGAAAAGTAGCGGATACAACCCGTTTTTTTCCCGTGTAAACAGCACCTTAGGCCATAAAGCAATTCAAGTAAGCTATTAATTAGTTACGAGAATAACCACATAACACATAAAAGTCCTATGAAGGAATTTAGGATAAAGAGGCAAATATGACCAATCCAAAGAGAAAAATATCCTTTAGATTTTCAACGTTAAATTCACAAACATAAACTATTAACAAAGTATTTAACATATCAAACATCAATAACATAAAATATACTTAAAAACCGGCACATACCTCCATGCAGATCTGGTAGAGCACCAAGCAGGCTGTGTGGTGGAAGAGACGGTTTCTTTTCCAACTGAACTCCACAGACTCCTCCTCCACGTCGTGCAGCACTGAGACAGAACGATGAAGAGGAGTTCAGTGTGTGTGTGTGTGTGTGTGTGTGTGTGTGTGTGTGTGTGTGTGTGTGTGTGTGAGAGCAGGCAGGCAGGAGTTTGTACCTTTGATCTTGTAGAAAGTCTCCGGTATGAACGCCTGGATGGCTTTGAAGCGCTCCACCACGAAGCCCAGAGTGGGAAACTGACAGCTGCCGTACGAGATCAGCTGATTGGCCAGAGACTGAGGGAAGATCTTCTGCAGGCGCATGGTCTGGAAGCGAGTGAAGGACGCACCTGCGGAGAGGATGGGATCATATTAATATGTTATACTTTTTTTGATAACCACTAGTGTTGTACCATGGCCATCGCTTACGTTGGAAAAACTTCCGGTCAATGTGTACGGGAAATACCGGCTAATTATAACACTGATCATGGCTGAAGTGACATTTAACTAAGTCTACCAAATTGGGATTTTGCTGTATGAACAAACTGTTTTCACGTGCAGTCTTACCTATTCGCAGGTCCAGCTCCTGACGCACGTCGACAGCATCGCTAACGTTAGTATCCGGCTCGATTAGTGTCTCACAAGCTCTCCGGATGGAGTTGGGGGTGATCTCAGAAAACTTTGCCCGTAACACTTGCATATTTGGCTTCACTGAAAAAGCACACACAGACTATTATTAGGAGCGATTTGTGGGAAAAGAAATATAACTGTTACATTTTATAAATACGATATTTTGGTGATCAGAGCCACTGGATTTTATTTCAGGCTAAGCTAACCATATTCTAGATCCAGCTTTATATTGACAGTAGTATCAATGTTTTCATTTAAATCTCAGCAATAAACATATTTACCAAACTGTTGAATCATTCTCAAAAAGGGAGATGAAATCCACACAATAACAACACAACAACTCACACATCACTATCCCACCTGCTTTGCAGACATCTATGATTTCAAAGCCAATGTTTTCCCCCTCTCGGTCACAATCGGTCCAGATGACTAAAGCCTGGCACTGCCTCGCCTCTTTCTCTAGTGTCCGCTAAAGACAGAGAGGAGCGGGGGGGAGAAGGAGAAAGTAAAGATGTAGAGGGAATGATTCAGGTATATTTCTATTATCCACAATCATTATTACTGTCTCTGACTCCACATAACTAAAGGGTAGTTAAAACAAACTATCACAGTTACAATTATTTAAAGGAACAGAAAGAGGGACAGATTTCTTTAAATACAATCTAAGGATTTATTTAATGTATATGACTAATGCGAGGGTACTATATTAGCATACCTTGATTAGTTTCATGTTATCTGGACAGTACTTCTCTACCTCAGCATCAAATAACAGCACAGGACTGCAACTGTACCTAAAAGGAGGAAAGGAACAAATACCATCAGTTGTTATGATTAGGGATGGGTACCGAGCCCCGCTATTAAACGGGGCCGAGGCTGAATTATTAAAGACCGTGGTACCATTAAGCTCCGACGTTATCGGCCTTTTTATCGGTACTGGAGACATGTACAAAATATGTCATATATATTATTACTACACCAACATTATATTGCAGTTTTAGTTTCGCCAACTCCGTTTCTAATACGCAAAAAGACTGCAAAATTAATTATTTTTAGTATTTTCGATCTTTCCAATCCAGACGAGAGATCTCTCTCCCTCGTCTGTGCGCGAGGGGGCGGGGCAGTTACACACACGCAGCTGCTACATGCAGCCACACACACACACACACACACACGCAGCTGCTACATGCAGCAACACACACACACACACGCAGCTGCTACATGCAGCAACACACACACACGGCGGAGATGGCGTAGAGAAAGTGCTCCGACTCCGAGGTGTGGTTAAACTTTACCCGCCTCGATGTGGACAATGCTCGTTGCCAAAAGTGCAATAAGAGTTTAGCATGTAAGGGCGGTAACACGAGCAATTTGTCGAAACATTTAGCAAAAGTGCACCACATTCAGACGGAGAAATGCACCGGGTTCGACTGTCTTTCTAGCAGCTCTGTAGCCCCCCCCCATCCACGACTAATGTTTCCACGTCAGGTGTTATGAATGCTGCTAGCAGCAACACACGGAGTTAACTACATTATACAAACATGGGTTAATGATTAAAGGTAACTGAGTTATTTATTTTGTTAAAGTTTCAGCTATTCTGTTTACAGTTCTGTCATCACATTATTTAATACGATTTGTTAAAGCATTGTTGTTTCTTTTGATGTGAAATATTATCTATTTAATTTAAATAAAAAGCAATGTTAGTTTTGTTCAGAATTTGTTCAGTTAGTTTACCTTGTTTTTTTCTCCGAAAGAACCGATAAAAGTACCGTTAAAAGACCGGATCGATAAGCGGTATCGATAAAAGTAGTAATACCGTTAAAACCTTAACGATACCCATCCCTACTTATGATACAGTGTGATGCAGGAAATAACAAGAAAATCAAATAAGAAATCCAGTTTTACTCACCACTTCTGATACTGTGCTTTAAACTCCAGACCCAGTAAATGGCCAGATACCGAGGTCATTGTTACCGTCACATTCTGGAGATGGATCGAGATATAAAGAGATATTTAAAGCACAAAAGAACCCACTTATAGGGGCTTGTGTGTAAAGGTCTTATAATTTTCTTATAACACTTACCTGGCCAAAGAGATTATATTCATACTCGTAGATTTTATTAAACTTTGACATCCCTTCTCTCTAAAATGGAAAAGAAGACAATCAGTACTGAAGCAAACACACATACAAATATAGAAATCTTAGAAACAGATTCACATTTATCATTTATATTACTATGCTGATTTCAGGAGATATACAGTAAGGATACAAAGTCAGGTTATACAAGACGTTACTCCACATGGATTATAACACATAAGATTTATATTTTAATCTTATGGTCAGGTTTATTATTCACTGGATTAGCCAAAAAAATGAGTGCCAATATTTCTATACACAGTTAATTTACTAAGTCCGAACATTTTCACGAGACGTGGCAACCCTCGATATGTTGAGGCTAGGCAGTTACTAGTTACTTTTCTACATATAATACCACATACAGTATAAGCTGATATGGTATAATGCAGTACTGAACTACTAATCTACATCGTATTTCCAGTATCTTAATTTGGTCCAAATACAACACTAACATGCTCTTACATGTTTAAAAAGTACTTTTGATACTTGAAGTACATTTACTGGATAATACTTCTTTACCTTATATTATTCTGAAATGGGCCCCTGTCCAGAATAGTACTTTTACTATTTTTACTTTAAGTACTTTTACTTAAATAACATTTTGAGATCAGGACTTTAACTTATAATGGAGTACTCAAACTAGGGCTGCTCGATTATGGCAAAAATCATAATCTCGATTATTTGGGTCAATAATTGATATCACGATTATTAAAAACGATTATCCATTTACTTTGAAAACATCCATTTATTGAAAAAAAATGTTGAACAGTATGTTTTTGACAGTTGATTACCCTGAACTTTAAGTATAATTCAACTTAAAACACAATAAAAATAATAATAATAATAATCGGTTTATTTCGATTACTTTGTTTTCGTAATCGTTGCAAGCCAAAATCGTAATCGAGATTAAAATACGATTAATTGCACAGCCCTAACTCAAAGGCCATAGTATTGTACTATAAAGTGAGGACTGGCAGCCTCTTCGCTCTGGCGCCTCTCCAGATGCATATGATGTGTATTAATTTCTACCTGCATTGTGTGTGTATTAAAAAATATAAAAACCAGAGTGAAAACTGAATTCCCCCCAAGGAGGATAAATACAGGTTCATCTTCTTTTCTTCTAAAAAAGAGTGCTTCTTACACCACTGCTTTGTAAATAGATTCTGTATTATTTTCATACAGGTTTATGTATTCACAGTTTGTTTTGATAGATATAAAACCAAGACACATGCTTAAAGGGACAGTTTCATCCCACAGGCCATAAGAATGTTAAACACCTGAACTTTTGAAAGAATATCCATAACATTCATCTGTTTGCAACTTGTATATATCAATATTCCAATTACATGTATATAGACTATTCTGCACTATTTCTATTTTTATTTTATTTACTTACACTATTATCTGTTTAATTGTGTTGCACTGTTGGAGGAGCCTGTGACCTAAGAATGTCATTGTCATAACTACACTGTGTACACATGACAATACAAGCCTTGAATCAGTGTTNGGCCATAAGAATGTTAAACACCTGAACTTTTGAAAGAATATCCATAACATTCATCTGTTTGCAACTTGTATATAGCAATATTCCAATTACTTGTATATAGACTATTCTGCACTATTTCTACTATATATTTCTGCAAACTGAAAGCTCATCTCTTTAGACTCCACTTCGAGCGATAAAATTACTAACAAAGCACTTATATACTAATAAAGGGCTGGCTTTTTAAATGCCAGTTGAGTAGCACTTGAAATGTTTGGCTCTATGAAACCTGATGTAATTATATGATTCTGTTTTCTTAAAGGTTGTATCTTCCTGGTCGAATGCACTTATTGTAAGTCGCTTTGGATAAAAGCGTCAGCTAAATGCAATGTAATGTAATGTAATGTAATATATTCTATTTTTATTTTATTTACTTACACTATTATCTGTTTAATTGTGTTGCACTGTTGGAGGAGCCTGTGACCTAAGAATGTCATTGTCATAACTACACTGTGTACACATGACAATACAAGCCTTGAATCAGTGTTCCTTCTTTAAATACCGTAAAGCACTGATTTATAGCACTATCTGTTAGTGTATTTTCCACAATGTGAGAGAAGACAGGACTCACCCTCCTCGCGTTGCCATCAGACATGATGGCTGCGATGCCTTTAGCCGCATCGTTCTTCTCGGCCACGCAGAGGACCCTCCGGATCTGACCCCGGACCTGCCCCTGGCCCCGGTTCATGTCTGCCTGCTGCGGTGGAGGAGGAGGAATGTCAGCCGGACACCGGTCACTCTGCGCCGCACGGAAACACCTCCGAATGACCCCGAGCCGCTGCTGTAATCCGGGTCTAAGCAGAGATCTACCGAGCAGCGCTAGCATCCCTCCCCGCTCTGAGGTGCAGCTGCTCCGGCTTCCTGCACGCTGACCTCGGACTGAGCTGGATCCACTCTGTTAGCATGTTAGCTCACCGACTAAAGACATTTCATCCACTCACTAAACCTACCACACAGTTGTAAAGTTGTGACAGCTGTTGACAAACTTCACTCACAACGAATTATAAAGATAGAAAATGAATTCCGGTCGATCAAAAGTGTTTAATTAAAAGTGTAAGAGGAGCAGCATTGAGCAACGACCTGATGGGCCAACTGTTAGCTCTGTTTACAAATTCCGCGCTCGACTGTCAAATAGTGCCGTAAAACTGTCGTAAAACTGTCGTAACGACCAAACGTCTGAATAAAACCAAATATATAAAAATGTATGTACAGTCATTTCATTATTTTAACTGATTGATTTATGCATACATGGTTGACGTGTTTTTATATTAATAATACGTTTTTCATAATAACTATTATAGTGTAAATATTAATGTTTCACTAATGTATTTCTCAAACAGAAAATCCACCCTAAATCCAAAATTGTCACATGTACATGTAACCAAGACAGTAACTAACAAAAAAAGGTATTTAAAATAATTTCCTCGGTATTTTTCCTACATATTTAACAGGTTGTTTTTAATTTTAGACGTCGTTTTTCTGAAATGTGAATAATTTCTGGAATTACTCCACCAAAACAATGTTATTTGCAGAATGGAGAGTGTTAGGAAAAAGGCCATCAGTTTTAGATATAAACACGTTTCATTGCAGCTACATACTTTCCTAGTATCTTCGTTCTAAGTTGTCTAGTACTTAGTAGATATAATAGAGACCCTGTTGTGACACCGATTTTGATTATTTGTTTAATTTCCAAAGCAATGCAGGTTCTTAATTCAAGTACAAAGTGTAGAAAATAAAACTGCACAGCCAACCCAGCCAAATAAACAATATGTGAAAAATCCCAATATAAACATTTTTGAGATTAAATTATATTCATCTAGTTTCCATACTAATACCATGTATTGGAGGAGGAGGAATGTCAGCCGGATAATGATAAGCAAAATATATGAAATTTCAGTTTTAGGGTGGAATTCCTCCAGATGGGGAGTTGGATTTGATCACCTGACAAGACTACAACCAGCTGGGTAAACATGGCGTCTGTCTCTGTATGTGAAAATGACATGTAGCGCTACAGGCTGTTAGCGGTGTGTGTGTGTCGCTCAGACGTCTCGCTTTTTAGCCCAAAACACAGAAACGTGCTGGAGACTACGCATGAAGAAATTAAGCTGAAAGAAGAGAGGTGCTTCAATGATGCTGCTGTGAAGAAAAAATCCTCTCTGATCATCATGAATGGTCTGACGCCAGCACGGAGCCTCTGATTGGCGCAGGATAATTGCTTTTGTTAACAGATATTAGTATTTAATGTGGAGGAGGCTACGTTTAATTGATTTGAGACATATCAAGGATCTTGGACTCTCTTTAGCAGGGACGCAGTGGGATTTGTTGGGCCCACTATGCTGTGGGACCCCCTTTTTTTAAATGGTATAATCCACTTGCTTTTTTTAACCTCACTGACAGGCAGAATGGTCCACCTGTGCGTTGTGCTTCTGACTGGTTTCAATGATACATTCAAGCCTTAAGCTGTTACTCTAAGGGACCTTTATTTTTCTTACCTCGTTTACTAATTTGCGTTGTGCCTTTGTAGTCATCTTTGCTTGACGCCTGTTTCAAGGGAGAGTAGTCACAATACTACATGATCTCCGATTGTAGAAATTGTGTCTAACAATGGACTGATGAATATCTAAACTCTTGGAGATTACTTTGTTACCCTCGCCAGTCTTATTGAAATCAACATTTCTTTATCTTCTGAGATCTCTTTTTAGTGAGTCATGTCAGCAGACCCATCTTGTTGATAGCAAATACAAATATTTGAGTGATTATTATAGGTCAAAATATCCTCAAACAACACCTTTAGTCCTTTCCTTTCTCTAGGAATCTCTTGGGTTGTTTGAACCTCACTGACAGGCAGAATGGTCCACCTGACAGCTGGTTTATGACTCTTTCCTGTGCTGATCTGTGTTTTCTCATGCCTTGCTCATCAACACAACTATGATAGGCTCACCTGACGTGGTGGCTTTCACTAAAGAGGATGATTTCGGGCAGGCAGATCCCGACCCCTGGGCCATCCCCGATGAGTTTTCTGTCCCTCTATCTCCAATCTCTGACTCCAACCCCTGGGCTAAAACCTCCTACGCCAAGTTCACCAAAGACTTCATCCTCATCTCCGAGTTCTCCGAGCAGGTCGGCCCTCAGCCTCTCCTCACCATCCCCGAAGACCCCAAAGTCTGCGGCACCTTCGACCTCAACTACTTCTCCCTGCGCATCATGTCGGTGGACTACCAGGCCTCCTTTGTGGGGCATCCGCCCGGCAGCGGGTACCCGAGGCTCAGCTTTGTGGAGGACTCCAGGGTGGTGCTGGGAGACTCAAAGGAAGGAGCGTTTGCATACGTCCATCACCTCACGCTTTACGACCTGGAGGCGAGGGGCTTCGTGCGACCGTTCTGCATGGCGTACGTCTCGGCTGACGAGAGGAAAATCATGCTGCAGTTTCAGGAGCTTTCCCTCCGCTTCTCTCAGGCGTCCGAGTGTCTGAAGGCTGGGAACAGGAGGGCGTTTGCCAAGGAGCTCCAGAGGAAGCTGCGGGATCTGGAGTAAGAACTTCCATATAACTTCCTACTTGCTAATATATTATCTGATATCTTTTCAAATCTGTGTTTCAATTATTTAAGTAAAGAGTGAACCGAAAAAACATTGACATTTTGTCAAAGGCATTCATGGACAATCCATTTTCGGGCCCTGGTACAAAAAATAGTTGTTGGCCCCTTTTAGACCCCAAATTATTTCTACTCCTTATTGTGTTTTGACCATGTTTCCACCCTTTTTAATGGATTACTTCACCCAGAAAATCATCCATTGTGTATCAATTACTCACGCCGTGTTATCTTGTGTTCTTGAAGAAAAGCATTGTTTTTATTGCATGCCTCCATGGTGAACAAGGAATTACGAAGAACAGGGAATAGTGTTGAGGAATTGACATAAATGGGGTTTGCCAAACCATATCAAAACATAAGCTTACAAACTCCCAAACAACTCAAGTTTTAATGCTCACACGCAACTACCTAAACATATTCATTTTCACCTGAATTTTACTATTTAATACACTTTATAGAAATCAATCAAAACATTTAGAGACATTTAGACATTAGAGACATTAGAAACATTTCACTAGCTATATTATGTACCAACAGACGAGCATTACCTCCCTCGAGTTTATTGCATGGTTTAAAACACAACTAGCTAAGGAACCCTAACCCTAATCTCACAGTTGTTGAGGTCCCATGTTGCCGGTTTATAGTATTTCTCGTGCAGTAGTTTCCCGATAACGCAGAGGCTCCTCTTAGGAAAAAAACAACCTATATTCCCCTTTCTAATTGTGTTGTTCCTCCCCTCAGGTACACTCACTCGGTGCTGCAGAGGGAGGAGGGTCTGCAGAGAGAGGCTGGGACTCAGCGCATGTACTCCGCTCACGCTGTGGAGAAAGCCAACGAGCTCGCTAACGTGGAAAAAAGCATCTACGAACACCGAGACCTGCTGAGACAGATCAGCTCCTACAATAAACGCCCGCGCCGAGACCCTCAAGCCGTCAGCTGCCAGAGGTGCATCAACGAGTGCTTGATCGAATGCGAGCAGCTGATAGACAAATATGCAAAGCTCGCCAGGCCTTTTAGCTACAATGAGAAAGATGAGACGGGGCAGGCCATCGATGCTGGAGGTGAAGAAGAAGGGGATGATGAAGGCGTTAAGCGAAGGCCGTCCTACACGCCACAGCTGATCAAAGCCAAGTCTGCAAAGTGTTTCGACAAACGCCTGAAGACCCTGCCGGAGCTGTGCGACGTTACTTTCTACGACGCCACCGTGACGCTCCTGAAGGACACGGAGAAGGGTTTCCGGGGGGATCTTTGCTACCTTCACACACAACGCCTGGACAAGGCACTACGCAGGAAACAGAGAGTTACCAACTTCCTGTTTGAGGAGGACCTCGGGGATGACGATGAAGAGGATGAAAGGGGGACCCTGAGACCATTCTGTGCTGTGAACCATGCTGTAGATAACTATACTCCTTTAAATCCACCTCATATTGTGCTTGGAACAGAACCTCTAGTGTTGGAGGATCTAGAGCCTCCGGATCCTCTCAACCCCGGCCTTACTTCAGAGACCGAACCTGGGCTTGTGGAGAGCCATCTGGAGTCCTCCCCTTCAGATCAAACTCTGGAGACTCAAGGGAGCTCAGAAGGGAACAAAGGAAGCTTCAGCAGCGATAAGAGCGGACTGGATCTCGCAGAGAAGCAACTGAATCGGGCTAAATCACAAGCTCCTGATCCTGATTGTAAACTGACCAATGAACCGGACATGGAGAGGGAAAGCAGCAGCGAAGATTTGGAGACAACCGCTGGGGATGATGATGGAGACGGGACTCCTGTGTCACTTCTGGAGGTTGCGTCCGAGCTGGAGGCCAGCAGAGAAGACGAGTGTGAAGTAATAACTGACGGGGCTTCGGATATATTGATTCCTTTGGACTCTGCTTGCTGTATGGCCCAGGAGGGTTTCCTTTACGAAGCTTCTCCAGCAGAGAGAACTCCTTGTGTTGGCCAAAGCTCCAACTCGCAATCCCCAGTTGTCAACCAGGAGCCTCATGCCCTTCTCCCCCTCCAGAGCGACTACACGGTGGGTTCCCCGGGCTCAGAAAGCCCCGCCACCGGACTGGAGTTGCCTGTTGGGCTCCTCGGAGATGCCGTTTCCCGAACCTCATTGGAGGAAGGGTCAGACTGTACCATGAGTGCTTCTACAGGGTCCGATCGGGCCGCTTCACCTCTTGGCTACGGGGGAGTTGTGACCCTGCGCCAGAGGAAGAAGGCCGGACAAGCAGCGCTGAAGTTTGTGCGACAGTATCCGTTTGCCATGCAGGCGCTGTGGTGTCTGCTGAGCGGCCGCACGCTGGTGGTGCTCGGGGCCGACGAGGGGAGGGTCCGCCGGCTCGTTTCTGCTCTCGCTCTCTTTGTGCCGGCGCCGGGGAAATGTGGAGAGAGAGTTCAAGCCTGGCTGTCCTGTCCCTTCACCCTCACCGACCTGCAGAGGTGGAAACTCATTGGCTTACAAAGGTATTTCTAATTTCTATTAAAAGCATTTGAAGTAAAACTCTTTGATGAAGATGGTATATGTTCCCAACGTTTCAACGGCGTTTCAAAAACCTATAACAAACTACCGGAAAGGGAAAACCCCTAAAACCTATAATAGGGCCCCTTTAATATAAATAAATTAACAGGTTTATAATTTGTTAAATTATCATTGTAATTTTTTATTTAAGTTTGAGCTAACTTTAAGACTTGTTATAATGCAAGGTATTTTTATCCATAATATTATATAATATAACATAATGTTTTTATTAATAATATAATTCGGCAAAGAAACAAATAAACTTGTCACATACATGTAGAGTGCAATATTGACTCCAAAACGCTGTAGCTTTGAATTATTATTAAGTAATATTTAAATGGGAATTCTACGGTCAGATAACTGTAACTAAAAGATGTACTAAAAATACAACGTTTGCTTATAAAACACAGAACATTTGTGATGAATTGTGATAACGTTTTCTAAACACTGCAAGATTTACTTCAGGTCTTCAACATTTTTAGTTTTTTTTAGCAAGAAAAACAACTTTTGTTTGAGAATTCAAGGTAACAGTGTGAGTAATTTAATCACAGAGGGTCATGTCAGCGCCGGTGAAGTATTCTGTGAAGAGAGTCTCCATCAATGCGACATTTAAAAATGATGGTGTTTTCCTCTTTGTACTTCACATCAAACCCTACTATACAGTTACTCTTCCTGTGTGACTCATTCCTCGATGACTCACGCAAAAAAACAATTCAACTGTTAACCCTCCGGCCTCAAATCCGTCCTTCAGATTATTTTCCATTTCGCTCATCTTCGTAATGATTGTGGGCTTCAGAGTAATCCAATATTTTGCCCTAAGAGAAGAGACCACATCTTAATTAACACATTTCTTTGCAGATAAAGTGTAGGAAGCTGAGTGAGTCAGAAGGGGGGGGAGGGGGGGTCTGGTGGGATTATGACGTGGATTTTATATCCCATCAGAAACCTCTGGGTGTATTTATCATATTGGTTCAGTAGATGCTCATAGTTTAAGACGTACCAAATCATGACACCTCTGTAAAATGTTACCCTTACTGGATTTTATTCATTTTTACACCCGATTTTCAATTTTGGGCGTCTTTGGGCACAAACCAGTAAATGTATGTCATAGCTATTTAGTTGTAGTTAAATCATAACGAGTACAAAAAGGGACACACCAAAAATGACAGAATTGTAGAGACAAAACATTAAACAAATTATAGGAGGTAAATGTTATATATGGACGTATATTACCCTATAATAGTTATACTTTCAGTCTATTTTTTATTTATGTTTTGCAGTTTGTAAATAGGAAATATATTTACTAAAAAGGTTAGATGTAAAGATACAGCGCTCAATGTTGCAAGTAAAGCAAGCCCGTTAGTAATGTCACCCAATACAAATGGCAAAAAAGATCGCTAAAAATGGTTATTCATATAAAAAAAGGAAGAATTAAATAATAATTATGACACATTTGATACAATAAATGGAGCTTAAATAGCAAAAAGAAAACAGATAAAGTGTTGCAGAGGAAGCAAGCTATTAAGATCACACAGCAAATAAAAAGACATGTGAAGGCAGGTTATTGGAAAACAATGCATCAATCCATATTTTAACACAAAAATGGAGAATAACTAACATATTAAAGAATTATTTGTATATGTAAGCTGTCTTTATAAAGCCAACTAACCCCACTGTGTCCCCCCCCCCTCCCCCCCTCCCCCCGACAGAGTGGCGTCCCCTGTCGGCTCCAGCATGCTTTACTCTCTGTCGCGCTACAGCCGCTACATCTCCATCCTAGACGTCGACCAGAAAACGCTGCGCTGTCCTCCGTACCGAGGCCAGCTGCTTGCCAACATCGCCGACCATCGCACCTCCATCCGCCGCGGCTCCACCTTCTTCCTCCACCTGCAGAGCACGCTGTGTGAGATGGCAGCCAAGGCCTTCCTGTTGACCTTCACCCACCACCTGCACCTCCCCGTCAGCTGCACCGAGGGGCCGGAGGGGGTGGAGGGCCGGCGCCGCTGCTTCCTGCAGGAACAGCTGGGTCTGGGGCACGAGGACAGCCAGATCCTGCTCTACCTCAGCCAGCTCGTCACGCAGCACTACCTGCATCCCGCCACCGGGGGCAGCGCAGCGGCAACCAGCTTCACCTTCAACTACACCACCAGCGTTTTATACAAAATCTGATTTGAAACTGAGGATTCCCACATATAGTATTAGCAAATATCATCGTCGACTCTTTGTTTTAAATGGACCAAAGGAGGATTTTAAAGAGGGCCAGGAAAAACTCTGAAATAGTTATCGTTTTATTTAGTGTTTAATCTATCTTTCTCTCTGCCTTGCTGTCTTTTTGTCTTGTCGTCCTTCTTCCTCTACGGGAAGGAAAACGGAGACAGATGTGAATGTCAGTGAGCATTTGTTAGCAAATATCATCGTCGACTCTTTGTTCTTAAATGGACCAAAGGATAATTTTAAAGAGGGCCACGCTCAGTTTTATTTCCAGGAAAACCTCTTAAATAGTTATTGTTTTATTTAGTGTGTAAGCTGTCTTTCTCTCTGCCTTGCTGTCTTTTTGTCTTGTCGTCCTTTTCCCTCTACGGGAAGGAAAACGGAGACGGTTATGAATGTCAGTGAGCATTTTGTCTGTATTTGGTCCAGAACACAATCACAAACCAAACACAGCACACGAAGGTCAGTCGTACTTTTTGTCATTGTGTGTTTTAATGGAAACGTTACTTGCGCTGGCTTGTTTAGGGTCATTTCTGCCCTTTCTCCACACACACACACACACACACACACACACACACACACACACACACACACACACTCTGTGTTAGCTAACCATAGCTCTGTGTTGAGATCCACCAATCACAGTTTTCAGCTATGATAATCTTAGCTATGTATTTTAAGGATTACTGCAACATTCTACGTACGCTGACATTGTCTGCCCGTGAAATCTTATCAACAGGCTTATCACAGCTGGTTTTGTGACATGCCTCTCTTCCAAATCAACCTCCTGAAGCCTATTCCTTTTTTATATTTCTTTTATGAGCCAATTTCAAACGCACATTCCTGCAGCAATCTTCATTTTATATCCAAATAGAGACACAATGTTGGATGTAAGCTGAGTGGATTTGTGGGCATGGATTAAACATTCCTTACCTTAAGTTGGTGATGCATGAGAAAGTAATATGTGCTGCGTGAACTACACACGGAGAGCCCCATGTGATATTTGCATGTCCGGAAATCATACTCACCCATGTTGGGCCGGTGTCACTATTAAGGGCTCGCGGAGCATTTTCATGGATATTACTCACATCGTGCAGGAAATGTACTTAAACCTAAATGTATTGAATTTCACTGTTGTCTTAAAAGTTGTCTGAGAGTGTTGTGGTGTCAGCATGAGACTGTCTTGTGCTCGGGTGAATCACCGTGTTGATAATATTTCTGTTTCGTTGTAATTGGATGAAGATGCTGAAAGAGTTTGAGGTGACGGGGACGATGTTCTACAGAGTTTATTATAGGGGAAAGAATGATTTCCTGTGCCATCGAAAACGAGCTAACTTGAATTAGGACAGCTGCCTATTATTTATTTTTCTTCTGAGCAGCCATTGCTGGATGTGTGATAGGAAACAAAACTTGTGTGTATTTATCGCTTTAGGACAAATTTGGATTATGACCATCATGATAAGTACGCTTCGATTTTCTCTTTGCAGCATTCTGGAAATGTTACAGGCCTTATTATGCTTTTTGGGGTTTTCCCTTTCCTCTAGTGTGCTACAAGGGTTTTTAGTGCATGTAAATGGTCGGTAAAGGCTAAATTACCAAAATGTCTCCCACACACTCCGCCCTCTGCCTGAAACACCTCCGTTGGACTCCTATTGTTTACTTCCGTGACATATTGACATCACTATCTAACATTCGTGCTCCCAGTGGCTCCAACACATTGTGCTAAGGGGCGGGACATCTCTTAGTATTTGACCAATCACAACAGAGCCGGCCAGCTAACCAATTAGAGCAGACTGGGCTCTGGTTTCAGACAGAGGGTGAAAAGAGGTGCTGCAGCAAAGGCAGTATGTCACAGGAGAGGAACTAAATACAAATATTAACCAGAAAATCAGCATAATAGGGCCCCTTTAAGTTTCTGCCACATCGGCCAGTTTAACAACACTTGAGAAGCGTATCGATGGTATTTCCAGATTTGACTAATTCTGTGGCGTCAGTATTGGAGATGTAATTCCGTATCTTAGAATGGTAAATGTACTTGTGACTGCATGGTCAGACGTTTATTGTGAAAGGTCAAAAGAACGTGGCATCGCGGCTGCTGCCCTTCCTGCTTCGAAAAGACGCTTTTTAATTTTAACTCACAGCAACCTTACATTTTTAACTCTAATGTAATATTTCAGTTTAATGCTCAGTATTTGTTTTGCCAAGTGATGTATTTTTTATATTTCTTTAATGCTTGAATAACACATTTTACTGCTATTTTTTTTAAAGTTTCCTCCCTATAATGCAAACAGGTGAATGTAATCTGATAAGCCATACCACAGTGTGCTTAACACGTCGTCACTCAGTGTCCTTATGTTGCCATGTCATGCCCGCCTTTTGTATCTCATCACGAGGGGGTGTCATGCTCACTTGAGGCGGCGTTGATGCCATTGATCTGACTAAAGCACGTTGTGAATGTCTTTGCCGCTTAATGTAAATGTTGTTGATATTCATTTATCCCATTAAATTATTTGAATCCATTTCCTTTTGTGTGTGGATCATGGTGACTCTCTCTCTGTGAGATACTGACAGAAAGCTCCTCTCAGATCTTCAGTAAATACTCCAACAGTCATGTGTGACTTGCTTTGGCGATGACGGATGTGGGAGAGTTGAGGTGTCATGAATAATAAATGCTGTGAAAGCTAATTGCTCTGCTGGAGATCAAGTAGAAATGTTAGAATGTGAAGTCCTGCATTCAAAATGTATTTCAATTAAAGTTTTAGCATCAAAAGTACTACCAGATGTAAATGGATTCATTATTATGAAATGCATTTATTGTAAAATAATTATTCATTCATGCTTTGAGCATCTGGAAAAGCGCTAAAATAAATGTAATGAATTATTATTATGCAAAATCGCTCGTCAGAATACATTGGATTATTTTTATTGATGCATTCATGTGTTCATTAATTTAAAATTGCAACTAGAAAATGTGGAACAAATGTTAATAACATAGTTAAATATAATATATATTGCTAGTATATATGTTAAAGGTCCCATGTCATGCTTTTCCGGTTATTACCCGTCCCCTTGTGTGTTATGAAGGTTTTTCTGCATGTAAACGGTCTGCAGAGTCACAAACCCTCAAAGTACACCCTGTAGCGAGTAAAACTCTAACACAGAAAAGACCTGTCTATGCTGCCCCAGAACGCCTCGTTGGACATTTCCCTTTTTCTTCCTGGGTACAGTGACGTGCCCATACCCAAATGGACCAATCCATGGAGCCGTTATGTTACGTCCGCGGAGCCGTTACATTTGGACCAATCTGCGGACTTCCTCTCACACACACAAACACAATCTTTTCTCAGCTGCAGCTCCGACGATTTCTCCGGCGAGGCTGTGAGTCGGTGTGTGAGCACACACAGTCCCAGCCAGGCTGCGGGTGTGTGTTTCGGGCTGGGTTTCGCTGTGTCTCGCTGTCTCGCTGACGGCCACTGGACTATACTACTTTACAGAGATGCTGTATGAGAAACCAATGTGAGTTTGGAAAATTGCACAATATAAATATTTTTTAGTATACCTCAACAATGGATTTATGATCAGTAGAAATGGCCATGACATGGGCCCTAAAACTGCAAAGTAACAACTCAANTAAACTTACGTTATAGCATACATTATTACGAAGTTAATTACGAAAGAATATTTGTACTACAAATTAGTTAATAGGAGTAGAAGTGTAGGGTAGTAAAAAAAAATTAAATACTCCAGAAAACTACTTCATTGTAGTTGGGTGCGGTGCTCAAGTAAATATACATAGTTATATTACTCTACTGAAAAATATTACAAAAGTGTGGTTTTGGCTGTTGGTGGT